CATATGGATTATATGGATGGCATTGACGTCAAAGCATGGGATACCAGGGGACTGACGATCCCTTCTGATCACCCTCTGAAACTTTTCTCGTGGGTGCATTTCTTTCTCATTTTTTCACGAACTTGTTGTGGCGGAATTTTCTCAGATACCTAAACCTTTACCCTCCCATCTCCCTCTACTCTACCCCATGGTGCCACAGGGGAGTGTGTGCACCGCCGCTTGTGGAATATTATACCCTTCATCTTGACGTCTAAGGTTTCCATCCTCTGATGATTGCGTAAAAGTACTGTCCTAATGCTGTGCGGAACTGTAAGGTGTTGTGACGTCATTCGACCACTTTCTTGGGCTGCAGTGTTACTAGATGCATTATATGTGTAAATATATGAGTGTGCTATGAATCCAACTTCCACATGCCTCTTTCTATTTTGCTCCGTGAAGTAGAGAAATATGATCCAAGGTTCTGCCCTGAGCTCCTCCTTCATGCGTGCCATTCTACTAAATCACCGCAAGACGCCCGTGTGTGCACCTCTAAGTCATCGGCCTGAAAAGCATCCCAAGCCCGAGGCAATACTTTAATCCGTATATAGAGGACCCGAACAGAGGGGGGAAGGGGGAAATGCTACGACCCCTCCTCTAGTTTCTTCTCGGCGAAGTCCCGCAGCTTGAACTTCTGGATCTTGCCGCTCGCCGTCTTGGGGTACTCGTCCGTCCAGAAGACGTGCTTGGGGACGAGGTGGCCCGAGAGCTTCTCCTTGACCCAGGCGCGGACGTCGGCGCGGGAGATGGTGCGGGCGTCCCGGTCGCCGAGGGCACCGTCGTCCCCGTCGACAGTCGTCCAGCCCGCGTGGGGGATGACGAAGACGCCGACGCACTCTCCCAGGCGGTCGTCGCTGATGCCGACGACGCTGGCCTCCTGGATCCCCGGCATCTTGAAGAGGCAGTTCTCGACCTCGAGGGGGTGGATGTTCTCGCCGCCGCGGATGATGAGGTCCTTGATGCGGCCGGTGATCTGGACGAAGCCGTCCCTGTCCATGACGGCCTCGTCGCCCGAGTAGACCCATATGGTGCCGTCCTCGTCCTTGCGGACCTCGTCCGTCTTGGCCGGGTCGTTGAAGTAGCCCTTCATGGTGAGGTAGCCCGAGGCGGCGAGCTCGCCGCGCTCGCCGATGGGCATGATGACGCTGCGGTCGGTTGAGGAGACGATCTTGATTTGGGTGTGAGGCATGGGGGTGCCGACGGAGGAGGTACGCTGCTCGAGGGGGTCGTTGGGTCGGGTCATGCAGCTCACGGGGCTGGTCTCGGTCATGCCGTAGCAGATGACGAGGTCCTCCAGGCCGAAGCCGGACTGGATCTTCTCCATGAGGCTGGAGGGGACGCTGCTGCCGGCGACGATGCCCTTGCGGAGGGTTGTGGGGGTGCCGGCGGCGCCGCGCTCGATCGCCTCGAGGTAGGCGACAAACATGGTTGTGACGCCGTAGAGGCCGGTGGCCTGGTGGTCGACACACATGCGGACTGTGGCGACGGGGTCGAAGGCTGGGGAGGAGAATAGGATGGAGGCACCGGTGGTGGCAGTGGCTAGGAAGCCGAGAACAGAGCCGAAGCAGTGGAACAGCGGAGGAGGGACCACGATCTTGTCGTTGGCGGCGAGGCCCATGCGGTGGGCGATGAAGCGGCCGTTGTTCAGGATGGAGTGGTGACTGAGCATGGCGGCCTTGGGAGCGGAGGTGGTACCGGAAGTGAACTGGATATTGATGGTGTCTGAGGGATCCAGGGGCGAGGACGGTCTCACTGGGGCGGGTGAGCCGTTGAGGAGGTTTGTGTATGGCGTGAGGCTGGGGAAGCGTTCAATATCGAACTGGACGTCAGGGTGGTCAGGCCGATTGTCTAATACGATGGCAACACGCAGCGATGGAACGGCCTCGCTCTGGATGGTGGAGTTGTCGAGATCGCCTAGAACGCCCCTGAGGAGGTCCTCATTGCTGCGGCCTTTGCCGGCCTTGTAAGCCAAGTCGGTCATTGCACCAATGATAAGCATCTCGGCACCGAGGTGCTGAAGACCAGACACGACCTGGCTCGCGGTGAACCCCGGATTAAAAGGGACAAGGACGGCGCCGAGCTTGAAGAGAGCGTATGTGAGAATGGTGTACTCGGCTGTGTTGCCCAGACTCACACCAACACGGATACCCTTGCGGATGCCATATTGAGCCAGGGAGTTGGCAACCCGGTTAGAGAGCTTGTCAAGCTCTGTGTAAGTGAGGACAGTCTCATGGGGAGTGTCCTTGGAGGTGGCTGCGATGGGAGAACGGGCCACAACAGCAGGGCGGTTCCCCCAGACAGCTACGACAGACGCAAAGTGGTCTGGTATCGTGCCGTGGAATAGTGGGAGCTAGGAAGAGAGTTTAGCACAACGTTAAGCAGATTGAATATTGATGGTGTAGACTCAATTGAGCTTCAGTAAGAAGGGGAATATTGTTCACTGACATCGACGGGCCCATCGCGATAACTTAGCTCCCCTGACTGCGAAGATGAAGCTTCCGCTCGGGTGTGATATGCTCGAGGCCTAGCAGCTGTCCCCCACGTCGTGATATCAAGATCAAGGGCCGCGGGGTTGACGTGTGAAGTAACGGTCTGCGACATTGTGTACGCCGCTGGTAAAGAGAATGCTGACGGTCTGATTCTTGTCTTGGTGACTAAAGTGCGACTCTTGCTGGAGGCTGGGAGTGCAGAGGCAGCAGTAGAACCAGATTTAGACACCAACGCAGATGAAGCTAGAGGCTGCCGAGAACTGCCATGGAAGGAACAGTAGGTACAACAATTAGACTTCGTGCTCTTCTTAGACAACCAGCGGCTGCTCTGCCCCCTCGAGGGCCGGCAGCTAGAAGTAGGCCATGCCGGGCGGAATGCATTGGGCCCAGGGCGCGCGAAGGGCGACTGGAATGAGGCCGGCAGGCTCGACAGGCGTGGGCCAAGTTTGCTAGACCAAGGCAGTTGACGCATCGGTAATGGCATGTCTGTTAGACTGTATGAACCCTGTGCATCTGCTACATTGCCTGCTGTCGGGGTTGAGGCTGGTGGGTTGTCGTCTCTCCAATGAGAGGCGTAGGAGCGACGAGATTATATTCGTCCGGGAATGAGACACGCAGACGACATATGGAAGGAAGGGCCGGATCCGATGAAAACAATGAGAGGGGAGGGGGGAGGGGAGAGAGAGTTGGGATAGTGTGCGAGGATCAATGGAGAAGATTGTCCTTTTCTCTGGCTGCGCAGGCCCCTCTTGCCGTGTGCGCCTGCGTGCCTCGCCTGCCCTCGGTCTGCTAGTATTGGAGCCATTCCCCCGCGGTTGGCATTTCTGGGCGCGTGCATGCGCATACCGGCGGCTGATCGCATCCGTGGGTGAAATGGATGCCCGTCTGAGTGAGGTGTGGCACGGAATTGAATTCGCCCCTGGAGACAATCCGGGGCAGAACCCACCCAGAGCGCTGTGACTGGCCTAGCTGAGCAGTCTCCAGTGAGGGGTCGGCACTCTAGCGGGAGCTGGACAGCTGTAGCTCCCAATGGATATGTTCCTGTAGCTCCCTTTAGGCAGCTGGGGCGTCACAGCTGCTGAGCTCCAGCGGGGTTCCATTCGAATTGCCTGCCATTCCACCTCCAACCGGATCCGTTTTAGTGCTCGCTCATTGCTAATGACAGGCGGGTGAGAGTCGAGCATCTCCGCGTGCATCTGATCAGATCTCAATGCATACTACCTGGGCCCTCCCACGGTGCTTTGGCCTGCCCGGATGCTGCCAATACTTGTCGGTTCGCACCTGGAAGAGGCACCTTGCAGGTATTGCCAATTGTAGCACTTGGACGTTATCACACAACAGAGAATGAGACAGTTCTGGTGTAATCACCGGCTGGAGCTATTCCGGGTTTCCCTCCATCACTGTGCTCTTACAGTTCAAGAACCGTTCAGTTGCTTAGGATAAACGGTGGGAAATCATTGCGTGTTCGATGCCTCAGCCCACCAACCAATGGGGAGGTATACCGTGTCTAGCTGCCGTAAGCTGCAGAAAGAAACTGCGAGTTGCTAAATGGTTGATGTGGGAATTGACACATCAAATCCAATGGCTCGTTGGAAACGTTGCTAATGGTTAGAGAAGAAGAAAGAAAAGAAACAACAGCCACGAATCCCAGATTCGCTTGAATCGTGAGATTAGAAGGTAGGTACGCAACGAAACCTGACAGGTTCTCGATTTGCCCATCAATTTCAGTGTCACATGGATGACTGCCGAGTCTTTCTCAAAATCATACCCATACGTTTTCATAATCCCGCGGATGGAACCTCATACGGTGAATGTTTCGAATGCAACTTTTGAGACAGTAATCCTAGAATAGCAAGATCGGCTAGCCATATTCGATGCGGAGCATTCAATGTTCCATATGTTGGCTGCAGTAGTCACGCCATGCTGAATGGGAAAAAAAAACCATATCTATTGGCACTGGCAATGTGAAGAATGGTTCATGGCTAGTCTTGACTTAATATATCTTGTCTATCGTGTTTACTGGAATGCAGAAACGAGTCTAATATGTGATGCTCAGCCTAGGTACAGTACGGCACTCTTTTTGGCCCGGTTGTAACTCCATTTTCCCACTGTTGAACCCACATGTTATAAACACAATATTGAATGGGAATAACGCCATAGCAAAATTTAACATCCGACAGAATCCCGCCATGCAAGTTCTCACCTGCTACCCGGTCTCGTAGGCTCGCTACAATGGCCGGATAGCGGGAACGGGCCAAGGCCAGCGAGATTGTAGTATATACAGTATAATTTAATGTCGTGGTTTAAAGGCAATTGAGGGTATCATCAAAGTTGCTGTGCCTTTCTAGGATCTCGATCGAAGCGCATTGCGTCCTCTTCCTTTGTCGAGTTGTATGTCTATAGAGGTGTGTCGTGTAGTTGCGTTGTAGAGCGTTTGCCAGGTCGAGGGGACCAGGCAAACGAGCTGGCAGGTGATCAAGTGGTTTTCGTTTCACCGATATGACGTTCGCTCTCTGGTTTCCAGGTACCTATATTCATCAGTCAGTCATCATTCTTTATATTCGCTAGATTCCCACTGATCAGAAACTCACCTTCGAACTCGTGCTTAACAAACGCCATGGGGTCATCTGTCTCTCCTGCACCCATCTGCCCCACGCCCGGTGAGAAACTGGTGATTGGGAGGACAACGACATCGCCCACGCGTTTGCTGGAAGTCATGCCCGTGAAGTTGCGGTAGTCGATGGTCCCCTTGCTCTGCGACATGTCGAAGAATCGCCCATCGTTGAAGTAGTCCATGATGGTGTCGGTCCAGACAGCAGGGCCGGTCAGACCCACCACGTCGTTGCTAACGAACTTGGCCAGTTTTCCGGCGCGCTTGAGCTCGAGAACCTCCTTGGTGATGCGGGCGATGACGTCGCGCAGCGCAGGGTGACCGGGCTTGCTCTGGATCGTCCACTGGCAGAATTGGATGCGACGGCTGTACCAATCGGCCCAGTCCGGGCGGTCGGGATCGGCCTCGATGCCAATGACAAGGCCGACCGTGTCGCGAGCCACCTGCTCAGGCAGCCACTCTGAAGCGCTCTTGATGGCGTAGGTATCGATGTCGGAATAGATGCCTCCGCGGGCGTATAGGATGAGGTAACGGAACAGGTCGGCTTTCAGGACGGGTAGGGGTAGCGCAGAGTAGGCCTCGAGGACCTCGGGGACGGACGCGTAGAGGAGGCGCAGCAGATCGCGCGCAACGTCGTCATTGATGACCTCGTGGACGAAGCCCGGGTGCTGGTCGGACCACGACGACTCCTGCTCGCGAAACTCGAAGCCCTCGTCGGCGGGTGTAGACTTCCACGTCTGCCAGATGTAGGCAGGGAACTTGAGGGTGACGTCGTAGGGGTAGGCGTAGGCAAGCTTGTCGTAGGTCGACATGTGAGACATGTCGTTCATTGGCTTCTGAGGCGTTCGAATGGCCGCGGGCCTTCTGGTGCCGCCTGCGACGACTGCTGCGCCGTCGCCAGAGACATCCTGGCTGCCTGGGTTTTCGCTTACGGGCTTTTGTGTGTCCGAATCTGAGGTTCTGGAGGTCGTACTCGTGGCTGTCGTGGTGTCGTGGGATGATCTCGAGATCAGAAAGAAAACGACGAGGATGAAACAGGCCGCGACAAGCGCGCGACGCGAATTCAACATTGTCGAAGAATTGAAATCCCCCCTTGAAGAGAATTCAAATGATAGAGAAAACTTGTCGTTCAAAGGAGGGTGAAGAAACGAAGGGAGAAGCCCGGCGGTGTGGTGGAGGAGAAAAGGAGAAGACGCTACGAACCCATCGAGGAACAGGAGGCGTTTGAGGAGGGAGTCAATTGCGTGATACTGACGGGCGGCGGTGGGAAGAAGGTTTAGTCGGGCGTAGCAAGCGTCAATGCCGCCGGCAAGAAAGTTAAAGGGACAGGCAAAGAAAGAAAAAGAGCAAATTAAGAGAAAAACGAAGAATAGGGGGAGGGGTGGTTAAGGGCTGAGGTGGAAAAAAAGATGATGCCGCAGATAGTTGTCATTAATCTGCCAGAACTATGGGGTCTTTGGAGTTTGATAGATGCTAGTTCTTGCAGCGCAACTGGACCCGCAATCTGGACACCAACGAACAGGGATTGTGGCCTGCAGGACCAGGAAGACCCAGCAAGGTATTATAGTATTCTAGGGTCTCTGTCGCCTGTCTGGGCTACGTCGTCGGTGGATGTCAGTCTGTAGGAGTGGCCACGGTGCTTTGGGGTTGGTTCGGGTGGGTTGTGGGGGTGTTTCGTGTTCTTTTTGGCGCAGTCGGAACGAGCCAGTGCCGAGTCGAAACTGTGCTTTGGCAATCCGCATCTCGTAACAAAAGAATGGCCGGCTACCCGTCGAGCTAACGGAAGTTGTCGATGCGTTGTCGTATAATGAATCGATAATGGGTTAGTAGTTTAGCAGCAAGATATGTAGGAATGCGTGGATGAGGTTTTGGGGGACCCGCCGATATTCCAGGAGTAGCTGGTACCTCGCTGTAGTGGGCTTCTGGGCTTGCCACCAGGCCCCTGCCGCTGGAGCACAGCGTACCTAGTACCTCAAGTAGGTGCCTGCCGCCTGGACATTACAGGTGGTAGTGCCGCTGTAGCGTCTCTAATTGAGGCGAGACATGGAGATTCTTGAATCATCACTGCCATGTGCGCTTCTCGCTGAGATCGATCCATCACTTGCTATTTGCGGTAGGTCTGTTCGCTGGTTGGACACCTGAAACACACCTTCTCCTGTGCAAGACTGATCCTCCCGTGCCCATCCCAGGCCTACATTGTGCCATCTACAAGCCACTACGTGCTACGTATGCCGACTGATAATGGATGGATGATTACGCAATTTCTCTTGCTAGGGCAGGCCGTTGGAGGATGCAATCGAAATTTTGGCTGCATTTGGATCCGGCCCCAGTCTCTAGCGGGCTCCATTGAGAGCCCCCGGCACCGATGCCAATACCAGCACGAGCTCATGGTTCTGGGCTCTTGGCTCCCAGCGCCTTGCCAGGCTGTTCAATCTTGGCTTCGTCTTAGAAAGCAGGGAGCAACAGACCAGGTACGCCGCCTTGATTAGCTAGGTCGTTTCCGGCGGGATGATATCACATACGACACATCTTCGGCAGTTCGATGCCAGATCGTCAGACAATTAAGAAGAATACTACATACTGACCGCGTATAGGAGCACTCATAATACACGCGTCCTATGCGCAGGCACTCTGACAAGACGGACCCAACGGCAGCCACCATGACCTTGGTTGGATCTTGCTGTGGAAGCAACCCTTGCTTGATCATGGGCAGGGGTACAGACGAAACCAGGCAAATCGACATGCTTGAGATACTGATAAGCATTTTCAAATATGAAAGCCACTGTTCTTTTGCTATAGAAACTTGCACTTTGATTGATTGGTCCACCCATCAGATTCGGGTTTGGACTGGGTTCGCTTGTCTTCTGCATCACTCCCTTGCCATATTGACGTACCTTCTAGTCATTATCAATCATGTGTCTTGCGCTCTGCGTTGTACCAACGTGCTGTTCTGAAGTAGATCTCCGGCTTGGCTCTTTGGCCGTTACTGCATGGTGGTGAGACGGCTCCCAGCGCCGATCATCAAGTATGTAATTAGACGCATTCCAACTTGGTGTTACCCCAAAAGAAAGGCATTGTTCATGTATTCGCTCCGGTTTCGCCCTATGGCCTGCCTTTCCCCGCCATTCAATAAGAAGTGAGCGTCTTTGCTTTGACACCACCCCAAATACAAACAAAATTGCCTATGCGTCTGGACTTCACCAAGTAAACAGTCCTGTGCAATGAGTCCCAACAATCCCAATCGTCCTCATCCGCTCTCGCAACTCTTCGAGGCTGAATTCCAACGTGCTCGTGACATCATCGTGGGCATTCATAGGCCAGACACGTCTCTATTCTTCCGGTCTATTTATGCGAAAGAACCAGACAAGGCGAGCTTGGTCCCCTTCCTTGAGGTTGAACATGCCGCTACCTTGACCGAGGACACTGAGCGCCCCCCGAGGCTTGCTCATGTCGAGTACGACATCGTCAGATTAACTGAGCATGAGCATATTCGCTCCGTTGTTAATCTCGAGACGGAACAAGTTGTCTCTTCCGACTCGGCTGAAAACTTGTCCAAGCCGTCATTTACCCAGTATTAGACATCCACCTCCTGCGTCGGAATGATGCCGTCAGTTGGGTAGCCAAGCTGACTGTCTCTCAAATAGACCCGAGTTTATGCTCTTCCAAGATGTCTGCCTTCACGCAGATATGTTCAAGGAGGCCATGGCCGAGTTTACTCTTCCAGATGGGTTTTCTATCACCATCGATCCTTGGCCGTACGGTGGGCCGGACGAGTTAGACAGCCCAAGATACATGCAAGGCCTCGTCTTTGCAAGAGATTCCTCACATAATAACCCGGACGCCAACCACTACGCATATCCAATCCCCATCATCCCCGTGCTGGATTGGGTCACAAAGAAACTGGTCAGAGTAGACCGTCTAGCCACTGGCGGGGCCGAGGACGGCCTCCAGCCACACCCTCGGTCAGAAGCACCCAAAGTGCTGCTTGAGAGGAACAAGTCGGCCGACTACGTGCCGGAACTCCTCGATCGCCCGCTACGCCAGGACCTGAAGCCCATCCACATTTCTCAGCCTGAAGGCGCCTCCTTCTCCGTGCACTCCGACGGCCTCGTGGAGTGGCAGAAGTGGCGGTTCCGACTCAGTTTCACCCCCCGCGAGGGTGCCGTCCTGCACGACATCTGCTATGACAACCGTCCCATCCTTTACCGTCTCAGTTATAGCGAGCTCACCGTCCCGTATGGCGACCCTCGGCCTCCGTACCATCGCAAGCAGGCATTTGACTTTGGCGACGGCGGTGCGGGACGAGCAGCGAACAGCTTGGAGCTTGGATATGACTGTCTAGGGGCGATCTACTATCTCGACTCGTTCATCGCAGCAGCAGATGGGTCGCCGACCCCGGCCAAATCCGTCGTCTGCCTCCATGAGCAGGACAACGGCATTCTCTGGAAGCACACCAACTACAGGACGAGCCGCGGCGTGGTTGCCCGGCTGCGTGAGCTCGTCGTGCAGTTCGTCGTCACCCTGGCCAACTACGAGTACATATTCGCCTTCAAGCTCGACCTCGCGGGCGGCATCACCATCGAGACGAGGGCCACCGGCATCATGAGCGTGGTCCCCATCGACGAGGGCAAATCAAGCAGGTACGGAAACGTCGTCGCGCCTGGCATACTGGCGCAGAACCACCAGCACATCTTCGCCGTGCGGATTGACCCGGCGGTTGATTCATATCGGACCGGGGATACCCAAGTCGTCGTTGAAGAGACCCATGGGCGTAAGATGGAACCCCGGACGAACCCGCATGGGAACTACTACGAGGTGCAGCGGCGAGTGGTCGAGAGAGCGCAGTGGATTGACTCGGAGCCGCGACTAAATAGGATATTGAGGTTGGAGAACAGTACGAAGAAGAATGAATTTTCCGGGAGGAATGTGGGTTACAAAGTTGTTGCGCCAGCTACACAGCTGATGCTCGCGGACGAGGAGAGCATCCTGGCCAAGAGAGCACTCTTTGCCAAGCACGATTTCTGGGTGACGGGGTATAGAGATGGCGAGTTTTGGGCTGCTGGCGAATTCACCAACCAGAGCCGGGAGGAGAAAGGTGGTGTTGGAGATATGGTGGCGCGAGGAGACTGGTTCTCGAGCCTCGAGCCTGATGATGGAGGGACGCAAGGAGAAGCGGCTCAAAGGGCCGGCCACGTTGTATGGAGCGTGTTTGGATTCACCCACAACCCTCGTGTTGAAGACTGGCCTGTCATGTAAGTTTGATGAGATAAAGAGTGTGGCCGTTGTTGAGATACAAACTGACTGCTGATGTGCACACAGGCCTGTTGAGATCCACCAAATGCACCTTCGCCCAGCAGACTTCTTTTCTTCTAACCCAGCACTTGACGTCCCTTCTGCGAGGAACAACATGAGTGTTTTAGTTCCATGCTGTGATAATGGAGTTGCTAAACAGGAGTCAAACGTCGGGGCTGCTCAGGGAGACCCTCTCAGCCACTTGCAGGGTACCGGGCCAGATGCCAGTCTCCAGGAGGCTGGTGCCAATGTAAAGTAATATGATCGCGGCCAAGATAATATCATTGGGATACTGAGCTGAGACTTGATAAGGCCGTTTCCCAGGAAGGGTGACTCCAATCTCTGATTAACTTCCTTTGACAGTACTGTGTGCAATTTTCATGATAACGAAGTGATATGATATATGCTACCAATATACTTTGTAATGGCTGATAATAGACCAATGAAACTCGTGAGTTCATTCGAAGAAAAGATGTACCTGGGACTAAATAGTGTTGAGCTACGCCTGTATCCTAATCTACTCCCTATCGGCAACACTCAGCTCTGACTATCCGGACCACTGCTGACATGTGTAGAGGGCTGAGCTGTCCACAGACCAGGTCATAAGGCAGCCCTGGCTTTAACATTAGAAGCCTTCTCATTGAATACCGGATTTAGATCATATAATTAATGCCGAAAAAAAGAGCTGCTCATGAATTCAAACAATCACTCATAACAGTATTACATTCGGATGAGTATTATAATAAGATTTCACTTAATGACGAATAGGAATTTACCT